TGATTTCTTCTCAATGGGTGCAGGATCTGAAGCTGTTCTTTCCCAACTACAACTGTTTACTTAAAATACTGAAACACAATCACCAAAATGAAATGGAGGAGGCAGATTATTTGAAAAAAAGTGCTTTTATATTTTGAATCAATATTTTTAAATGGACCACCTTGTCCCCCTCCCCCACAAAAAAAAAAAACAGGGTCAAAATTGTTAATGTATGGTCTTGGGTTTCCTCTGAGTTGATCTTTTGGGTTCCAAAAGACCAGATCAAGTTCTGGCTTAGGATACACTCACCAAGCAAAAAAAGTTCTTCCTTTTTGTCATGTTTTTCCTACTATTGGTTCTCCATATGCCAGCATTTCTCTGCCTGTAACCAGTATTTTTAATCTCATTTATCCCTGGCCCTCCAAGATGAATCTATACTGGTCTTCTTTGACTGCTCAACAACTGAAATCACTTCTGGTTTTATCCCTGTGGCAGACGAATATCTATCCTCCGGCTTGCCATCTCAACAACCAAGTGAGATGAGTAAGTGACACTCTAGCCAGCCCGACCCTACCATACCCTACCCCACCTTGAGGATCATACACTGAACCAGTGTTGTCAACATTGACAACTCACAAATCTCATAGGAAATGTTAGACAAGTTGGTGCCAGATCTAAAGACCCAAACTGAGAAACTGTATGAAAAGTTAAGCACTATTAGTCTTCGCTTGGTACCACAGCGATTCAGGGGCTGCATTTTCTTATATATGATGGCCATTCAGGTAATTCTGAACAAGTGTGTATTGTGACTTAATTTATCAGCAAAATTTTAAAAATTATTGAAGATTTTTTGTTCTATCCTTTAAAAGACAAAATATGGAAGAAATCAAATTTGAGAAATGATTCTCAATCTTAAGAATTAGAAGGTTAAATTAATTTCCTTAATGTGGTCTCTAGTACAAATAGTGAATTTCATTTAAAATAAAGCAGTATATATAAATGGAAAAAAAAAAAAAGTATAACAACCAGCATGCTCCTTAGAAGCAAGGATGTCAAGACTTTGGTTCATGTACTTTGGACTTGTAATTAGGAGGAACCAGTCCCTGGAAAAGGACACCATGCTTGGTAAAGTAGAAGTTCAGTGAAAAAGAGAAAGACCCCCAACAAGAAGGATTGTCACATGGCAGCAACAACGGGCTCAAATGTAACAAAAATTGTAAGGATGGGGCAGGACTGGAAGTGTTTTGCTTTCAAGGAGATGTTTCATTGATGTTGGCTGACAGCAGAAAATACCAGAAAGATGGTTAACTGTGTTTAATTCAATATGCAAAAGATTGTGTGGATCTCACAGATTATGAATAACATTGCAAAGAATGGCAA